TATTGCGAATGGTGCATGTTGGATAGTTTTTCTTTTTAGGTAATGGTAGGCATTCGTAACATTGTGTCATTCCCTATAAAAATACATAAACGACACAAGTGTACATCTACCTTGATAATAATCCTAGTCTGACCTATATAACCTTGACTGGCCGCATCAATCAAGTACACATTTGACGCCAAACATAGTCGATTTACATGACTTCTTGCTTCTATTTAAAATTATAAACATTATTTACAATACATTGATGGCCATTTAATTTAAAAAGAAATATTAAAAGACAGGTAGATGGCATATTTACCTATATTATCCAATGCACTAATGACAATTTTAAATTTCTTAAAGTATTCAACATCGAATGATGAGCTAAAAGTGCAGATAAAATGAAAAGTTGATATATTATAGATTTTATACAATTATATTATAGTTAATAAAAAACTAAAATTACTCAAATATGGAAATGTGTTTTGGCAAAATGTTAGCATTCTTGTTAAATTTTAGTGCGGATTCAGCTGCAATCTAACAAAATAAATAAGGCTTAAAAATATTCACTAGCTTGAATGTTATGTACTTCATACAAACTGGCTGTACGGAAGGCAGACTTTTTAATTATTTTAATTTATAATAAACTATGAGTGTATCTTAAAAAAAAAGTTAAAACAATACAATTATAGTTAAAACCTAAAGAATCGTCATAAACAACATGAATTCTACAATAAATAAAATTGTAAATAATTGTAGTACGCTATTCTATCACAAAGTGATAAAATATATTCAGTATTCAATAAGTAAAAAATATTTGAGATTTTTTTTAATATAGGACTCGTTTTCACTTTAAAAAAAATTATACTTTGTGTTTTTGACAATAAAATTTTACATACTGCATCCCCCTCGAAAACAATTAAAAATTGTGTATTTATTAATACTAATACTTTACTTTTGAATTGAAGTTTAAACAGAAAAACAATCATTCAATTTTACGTAGATTATAAATACAGTTATATAATTAATGCTACGAGGTTTGCAGATATCATTAGCTGAACATTTAATGATTAATTATACAAATTTTATTATTGAAATAAATTAATAGGTTTGATTTTCTATCTTTGATTTGTCTCAACAACAAATAACATTTATATTACAATTAATGAATAACAGTCAAATACAAAAATAAGTCTAATATCAACGCTTGTCAAAAATCCCTCATTAATAAAAAAATAAAAATTACTTGAGCTTTTGGTTGTCCAACATGATGCGGTCTAAACAAAAATTGTCGATTCAAATTACTGACATCAATAATATCCAAATCAATCTAAAAAGTAAATGTAAAGTGTATATTATAATATTTAAAATAAATACAATCAATTAATTATAGGATGGAAAATATATAAGTACGTGAAAAAGTATTACATAATTATGAACCATGAGGATGATCATAAAAATCCTAGAACAGAATTTAGAACAGTACCTAGATCTTCCGAGGGTAGACGTTTCCAGCTGCATGTTTTTATATATTATTAAATACAGTTAAAACCTAAATCAGCGGTTCTCAAATGGGGGTACTGGTACCCCTAGGGGTACCATAAATTATAAATATTTTTAAAATTTTATAATACATTTATGTATCTATTTTTGATGAAGTAGAGCCATACAGTAGAAAACTGTAACATAACAAAACTTAAATTATGACTGATTCTTCTGCGTTTTTCAGATACGTTTAGTTTAGTAAAACTGCATTATAATAAATAAAAATCATAGTATTTATTATACTGTAATGTACTTTTACAATAAATGCACCATAATCGCATGGACCACTTTCTCTGATTAATAATTTATAAATAATGATGAAATTACAACTTCAATATTGATAAATCCGGATAATACTAAACATTTCAATAGTTCACATCCAATCCCACCGGCACCAACCATTAAAACATTGATATGGTTAAAATCAATACTGTTATCCATTATTAGAGTAGGTTTTTAAATTTAAATACAGAAATATAAAAATATCTTTATTTTACTTAAACCTGTTTATTACTATAGTTAAATATGTAATTAAATTTGAACTTTTATTTATCTACGCAAAAATAAAATTTATACGTCGTACATTTAGAACTAAATCATGTATAGTTTGGTTTATTTAAATTTAATATACAAAATTTACATTATACAGTGCAATCGCGCTAAGTCAAATTGAAAATTTTAATAAAAATTGCACTTTGGGAATAAATAAATCGATTTAACTTGTTTCAAAATGATGTAAAATGTCAGAAATGCATAGTTACAATCATAAAAATAGATAATATTTGATAAAATTGAAAATTTAACTTCGCGAGATGCAAATTTAACAAATTTTTAATATTATAATTAAGTTAATTAAAATGTATCTTATATTATAAAATTAGGTATTAATGAAATCTTTTTCTATAATATTTAAGCATTCTATTATCTTTTGAGGTAAGTGTGGTTTTTTTAGTAAAGATTCTTTAAGATAGTTTAATCTACTCAAAAAATCTTTTGCGTCAAAGGTATCAGTACAATCATTATTTCTTGTAATTAAATTTTTGTCAGACCAACTATATTCATCAAAGTCTATATCCATTTCATAAAAACTCTGAAAATTATGCCATTCTGTAATGTCAGGTAGTACCGTTTCCTGGTTCAAATTAGTATACTCTAAGTCAAACATCCTTGCTTTACTAAAACAATTTTTAATTGTATCAGTTTTTACTCTTTGCCATGCCCTACTTATCAGCATTACAGCATCAAAAAGGTTTATATCATTAATATTGTTTGCACTAGAAATATTTTTTGACATCATTGTTATTAATTCTAATCTATAATAATCCTTTAAATTTTTGATAATCCCCATATCCATAGGCTGAAAACACATGTTGCATTAGGTAGAAGAAACAAGTTTTATAGATTCTAGGGGTTGAATTAAGGATTTGCAATGGGCTGTACAATTATCAACTACTATCAATAATTTTCTTTTTTTATTAGAAAATTTTTGATTGATAATGTGCACCCACTCTTCAAACAATATTGCTGTCATCTAAGCTTTTTTGTTGCTTTTATATATTAATGGGAAATTATTTTTATCAAATCCTGCAAAGCACCTTGGATTTTTAGATTTCCCTATCATTAAAAAAGGCAATTTTTCAGTCCCACTTAAATTAGCGCAACACATTATTGTGATTCGTTTTTTATCAACTTTAGTGCCCTGAACTGGTTCATTTTTAAAGGCCAAAGTATTTCTTGGTGTAGCTTTAAAATATAATCCAGTTTCATCAACATTAAAAATGTTGTGATTTTCATACATTTAAAACACATTTAAATTATTCTCTCACCAATTCTCAACTAGGGTATTGTTAATACTACCTGATTCGCCTGAAAGTTTTTTATAAAGCACATTATTTCTGCATTTAAACCTATCAAGCTAGCCACAAGAGGCTTTAAAATTATTATTATTTAGTTTCTTTGCAAAAGTTAAAGCTTTGTCTCACAATTGTATTGTTATCGACACAAATTCGCAAAATTGTAATGTAGCTGCTTCAATATCTGCGAATCCACATTTTTTAATTTTTTTGTTTTTTAATACCATATGACATATCTGTCTATTTTTCTCTATTTTTGAGAATATATGTGATTGTGGAAGGATGAACATAGTATTTTTTTGCAATAACTTTTTTTAGTAAAACATTTTTATCAATTTCACACAAAATTTTTATTTTTGAATTGCTATGAAAATTGTTATACATTTGTAAAAAGCGTGATTGCTTGCAATAAGCGCAATAGCACTGTATCTTACTTACTCTTCCCTCACGTCAAATAATTATTGCGCTGTCTTTTTGTTTCACTAAATCAGCAATTTTTTTTGGTTTCAATCTGAATTATGTAGAAAGTTCAATATATACTGTATTTCTTTGTATCGAAGGGAATATCTTACCTTTTACCCGTATTAAATTTTTCAATTTTAAATTTAAAAATATTTCATACGATATATAACGGTAGTATTATTAAGTGATATTTAAACTTAACTTTTGATCTCGTACATTTCTACGTAAATTACGTAACGTAATAGAATTTTAATTTTTTATACCATGGTGTAAATTTCTATACATCGTGTTTAACCGTAATAAACTTTAATTCTCAATTTTTTACAAATATTATTTAAACTGTGATTTAATCATCATTTTTTAATTATAACTGTAATAAACTGGTATATTTAATCACTGTTCATGTGTACAATTACTTTCACTCTTAAAGTGTATTTTCATATTAAATTCTGATAAACCCTTGTTATATTTTAATCAATATTACAATAACTATGTTCAACTTTTTTATTTGATGTAGTATAATTCAACAGTTGTTTGTATCTTAAAATTAATATTGTGGTTTAATTAATAAAAAATACATAGCGATGAAATGAATGTATAAAAAATTANCTGTTCATGTGTACAATTACTTTCACTCTTAAAGTGTATTTTCATATTAAATTCTGATAAACCCTGTTTATATCTTAATCAATATTACAAAATACACTTTAAATTATATGATTAAGTTAATTAAAAACAAATCAATGAGCTCAAATTTTAAAAGTATAAATGATATTAATTTGCTGGAAATTCGGTATAATTATTTGTTTCAAAATGATGAAGATAGGTTAGCTAAATTAATGACAACAATATCGGATGAGGATTTAAAATATGTTCTGCTCAATATGAACATTCCCGAAAAGGATGGATTTAAATCAGTTATAAATTGTTTAAAGCAGCGTTACAAAGTAAGTATGATTCGTTTTAAAGGACGTTATACTTTATTTCGTATGCAACGAAAAGATAATGAATCAATCGATCAATTCTATATAAGATTGAAAGAACAATTTTATTTATGCGAGATGAATGATGAAACAATATTTATTGATATCTGGTTCTAGAGTAGTGATACCATCGGATTTTTTACTTTGTTATACACAATATACATGTAATGACATAATGGCACTATTTCGTAATTATGATTTAATTGAACCAAGTAAATATATTGATCATAAAAACTTTGGTAATTCTAATTGGAAAAATTCAAAATAATTTAAAATTGCAAAATAAACCATCTCGAATTATTGAGATTGATGAGTGTTCAGAAATAATAAGGAATTTAACCTTATCCAAAAACAATCAGAAGATAATATTATAGGATGCCGAGATGCGATAAAAATGAATATGTTATTTATTAAAATAAATCACATTTAAGAAAATATTAGTTTTACAGATATAATTAAACGGTTTTATGATGTTATTTCTTCCAATATTGGTCGTACATCATTAATAGAACATAGTATAATGCTTAAATTAGGATATGATTTTAGAAAAATAAAACCATTTGCTATAGGCATGAATGTGAGGGATAAACATGCATCCATTATAAAAAAACTATTAAGAGATGATGTCATCGAAGTTAGCAAAAGTTCAGTATCTTCAAACTATTTTTTAGTAAAAAAAGAAAGATGGTACTGACCATATGGTGAATGATTTTTGTTATTTAAATTCATTTACTGTTAGAGACCTTTATCCTCATCATGATATTAAGGAGGCGTTAGATTTATTAGAAGGATTTAAAATTTTTTCAACTATGTATTTTACAAATGGATTTTGGCAAATTTCTTTGGTTAAAAGTGATCGTTGGAAAACGGCATTTACTACATCATTCGGTGAGAAAATGTATCAATATAAAGTTATGCCCCAGTGTTTAACTAATTCACCTGCTACTTGTCAAAGATTAATGGAGAAGATATTACGTAATATACCATGTGTTACTGTGTATCTAGATGATGTTATAATAGGTTTTAAAATAATAGACCAACATAAAAAAGATTTAATAAAAGTTTTTGAAGCTATCAGAGCAGCTAAATTGACATTAAATCCAAAAAAATGTGTTATTGGAAGTAAATTTATTAAATTTTTAGGCCATATCATAGATCATAATGGGATCAGAGTGGACACTGAGAAAGTTGTTTCAATCCAATCGATAAAGACGCCTAATACCGTTAAACGCTTTCGTAGATTTTTAGGAATTTGTAATTTTTATAAGCGCTATTATTAATGGTTTTACGGATTTAGCTGATCCTTTATATCAAGTTTTGAAAAAAAATGTTAAATTTTATTGGGGTGATTCTCAAGAATTAGCATTTACAAAATTAAAAAAATCTTTAACTGTAGCAATAGTTTTAACATTACCAAAAGAAAATTTTGATTTTACCTTAAAATGCAATGCTTCGAATATAGATGTAGGATCAGTGTTGATGCAAAATGGTCATGTAATTGAATATTTTAGTAGGAAATTAACGTCTACTGAACAAAATTATTCAACTACTCAAAAGGAATTGTTAGCAGTTTTGCTATCAATTCTTAAATTCAGACGCTATCTGTTAGGTAGACATTTTATTGTGTTTACTGATCACAATCCTTTAGTTCATCTTAGAATTTCTGATAAATCACCAAAAGAGTTATTAAGATGGATTATAAAACTTGAGGATTTTGATTACGATATTATCTATAAACCTGGTAAATTAAATAAAGTGGGAGATTTTTTATCACGTGATTCGTGTGAATTTTCAATAAAGCAGATTAATTTCAATTCTATAAACGCGGTTGAGATTCAAGATAATCAGCAATTTAGGGAAATATTAGAAACTGGAATAGTATCACAGAATAACATATATTATCGTATTAAGAATATTATTATTATTAAAGATCGTGTTATATATGTTAATAAAAATGATCGTAATCTAATTTTGGTATCTAGAAAATTTATTAAAGCGGTTATTTGTTATTATCCCAACTCTCTCATTTTTGCTCATCCTGGTATTACTAAGTTATTCCATCTTATTAGGCATAAATATTTTTGGCCCAAAATGTATCAACATATAAAAGATTATGTTATTGATTGTGTGAAATGCAATACTTGTAAATATAGAAATCATTTATATAACAAAAAATTGAAAATAGTTGAAACTACTTATCCCAATAAATTGTGGCAAGTAGATATTTCAGGACCATTTAATGAAACTTCAAAATTAAATAGATATCTATTAATTATGTGTGACCATTTTAGTGGTTGGTGTGCAGCGGAGCCAATGCAATCAATTTCAGCAGACAATGTGTCACAACCCTTGATTAAGCACATTATATCTATATTTGGGCCACCAACTTCTATTCATTTTGATACAGCTAAACAGTTTGAAGGAGAGATTGTCTTTAAAATTGTGTTCAACTTTTAATATTGATAAATTACATTCAAAACCTTATTGCCATAATGAAAATGGATTAGTAGAAAGATTTAATAGGGTTATATGTGAAAAACTGCGAATAATGTGCAATGATACACATGATAATTGGGATAATATGATAGATTATGTGTTAATGGGTATACGCAATACTATTTCATCAAAAAATATATGTACTCCAGCAGAATTGATTATTGGTCATACTTCTTTCGAATCACATTACGATTTAAGTAATTTACACAATATTATTAAAATAAATAAAAAAATCAATTGCGAGTAAAGAAAAATTATGATAAAAGGGTGCAAAAATCTCAATGAAAACATTGGAATAATTACACTCCAGTCCACCCATTCCTTAATAAACAAAATAAAATATATGTTACTCGAAAGAAGTTCATGCCAAGCCGTTTCAAAGACTATGCCATAAATTAAACAGGGAGGTGTAATAAACCTGTTTATACTAAACTGGTATATTTAATCACTGTTTATTTGTACAATTACTTTCACTCTTAAAGTGTATTTTCATATTAAATTCTGATAAACCCTTGTTATATTTTAATCAATATTACAATAACTATGTTCAACTTTTTTATTTGATGTAGTATAATTCAACAGTTGTTTGTATCTTAAAATTAATATTGTGGTTTAATTAATAAAAAATACATAGCGATGAAATGAATGTATAAAAAATTATTATAATAATATAATCAACCCTGTAAGTCAAGATTAATTGTATATCATCGTAAGGTTAATTAAAATGAAAACTATCTTTTATATTTAAATTGAATTCTAGTATAAATAGTAAAAATCTAAATTTTGAAATTATTTAAATATGAACGTTATGAAGTCAACATCAACATTTATCTTGTTTGCAATATTGTCAACTTTCCATTCTAAATACAATCAGACATCAACAGAGGAATATGTCCATCAAGTTATGTAAACATGATCGTTAGATATGGTGACAATCCGGCTCAACGTGTGAAAATAAAATTATTTGGTAAATTTTAGTTTTACAATGTTAATTAAAATTTTTTCAATTTCAACAATGGGGTGATTTGGGTTTTGACAGCGATTGACATTTATCTTCCCTTTTCTATAGTAAAAATCAACTTGTAATTTGTGTTTTTGAAACTTCTGGGTCAATGAGTTTTCTAAATCAGAATGTTCATAATTATAATTGTAAATAATATATTCAATTTACATATGTTAATACAATGTAGATTCAATTGTTCCAAAAACTGCCAAGTATTTTAGAATGTTGTGCACTACTGGAAAATTTAGAAATACGAAATTTTTTAATGTAATAAATTCAAACATGCTGGTTGGAGGAGATTTCACACACAATGATAGAAATGGAAATGATTCATATAATGGTGGATTATTTTCAGATGAAAATTTCACGCTTAGTCATGATATAGCTGGAGTAGTTTCAATGTTAAGTAAAGGAAAAGATACCAATGGATCTCAATTTTACATTACATCCAAACCATTGCAGACTTTGGACAATATCAATGTTGTTTTTGGAAAAGTTGTCGAAAATTTATCGTACATCATTTACCTATCCAACATCAGTACAAATTCAAACAACGTTCCAATTAAAGACATTATCATAGTAGATTGTTATTGAATTTCTGATTGTCTTTTAGTTTACTATATTAAATTGTATTGATTTTATTTTTTGTTTACATTTGAATGCCCAGTCCCACCTGGAGACATTGAATAAGATATTAATTTAGATATTTGTCTGCCATTATTGAATATCTAACAAAATTATCAAAAATATCATTTTATTGGAGATTTAACGAATATTGGCCATCAAAGATTTTTTTCGTGATTCTTCTCTTTAGACTTAAATTAAACACAAAACCATCAAACTTTTTTTAAATTTCCCTTCTAAATGTAATGTAGAATATATTATACATACAGGTTATTCTCGATTTTTTGACAAAAATAGTTGCAAAATGTGTTCAAAAAATCTAAAAATCTGTACTATGTATTACAACCAAAATTAAATGGTTATAGGCAAAAGCACAATCCTTAGAACTGTGCACTGTAAAAACCACTGCAGTGGTTTTTGTAGTATTTGAAGTTGATCCATCTCAACATTATTAAAATTATCACAAAATTGGAAATGTCAAACATTTACTACTATTAAATCTGCAAATTGCAAATTGATATTACCGTAGTACAATGTAGTTCATAGTTCATATTATTCACAGTTGTCAGTATAAGTTAATTACATTTGTAGCAATATTTATATGGTTACAAAATCACCTAACTAAATATGCTACAATTTTATTTGATTCATATTTATTATCGCATTTATCTGAATTATTTTGTAAAACTTTATATTGCATGAATACAAAAATTATATTAAAATGAGTAGAAAAAAACAAGAAATTAGTATAGATATGTAACATTTGAATATTTTAATAATAGAAAAATTTCACTAAATCCAATTTTTAGATTACAAGATTTAAAAGAAGATGAAATTTCCAAACCCACGTAATATTTTTTTAAATTCATAATATATTGACGTTGGACTTTATTAAAATTCAAGGGGACTGCAGTGAAAATGAAGATATTTAATTAGTAAAATTTAGTGAGGCCTCTCAATACCGCCAATTTTGGTATTTCAATATTTATGGCGGTATTGAGAGTATATCGTTATAGGAACGGTTAAACGATAAACATAAATATATACGGTAAAAAAACAATAATTCAACGAACCAAAACAATATTATAGTATGAAATTAATATACAGTCAAGCACCGTTAGTGTGTATTAGGGTGTTTCAAAAAGTAGAAATTTTGCCAGTTTTTCTTAGCCTTAGTAAAAATTAAGTTAGTATTTATATTTAGAGTACTATGTGACTTTTATTTTTTTTTCAAAGACCCAAAAATCTAATTAAAAAAATATAACCATACCCATAAAAGGGTTTTTCTAATCTTAATTTAATAGAAACTAAAATTTTTAATAATAAAACGAATACGCATTATACCTAATATAACTTAAATACACTATAAATCAACATTGTAGCTATATTCTAATAATTAAAAATATGTAAATAAGACAATATTTAATTGTAATTATTTATCTATTCTAAATTAAATTACAATAGTCTAGATTCCTATCTTCCATAATAATATTATAATACAGTGTAATACGACATAGTTGAGAATCTAAAATATATTATTAAAATAAAAAAAACCAAAAGTATCGATGAATTTGTCAATTAAAAAGGATCAACTTCTGATACACATTGAGAATTAGTTATTTTCTTAAATTTGAAATATTTTTGGAGCGAAATTTTAAAATATTTAGTTTTGAGAGAGATCCTTAGCTAATTCGTTTGTCAACAGTACGTCCAATTTCGGCTGAGATGTTTATTTGTGTTTATTAAGAAAAAAAATGCATTTAAATCTAAAAAAAAATCTAGTATTTCTGTCCCAAATCCTGGTTCAATAATATAAGTGATACATACATCATCATCTGGTCCCCGTCCGAGTGTCATTTGTCCTAGATGTTGTACATCCAATCGAAATTTTAACTCTGGCAAGTATCGTAACAGGAAACACTTGACTAGGTCCATACCAGAGTACGTATGTTGCGTGAAGCTCTTATATATCGATGCACCCAGCGTTGGAATAGTGTTTGTCTTACTTTTAGTTGTCATCATAGATATTTTGGATTGTTCTGGATTTTCTTTATAAGGCTTAATAGGGTCCTCTAGTTGAGGAGTAGCTATTTCGACGTATTCGTATTTTCCATTTGGTCCTCTGAATGCGCACAATGGACTACTATTGTTTTTTTCAACAATAACGCCTCTTCCTTTGTACATATGTCCCTCGTAGGTGAACACTAAGGTGTTTACATTTTGATTGAATTTTAGAAATTAAAAAAATCCAGGGTCGCACGGCATGAGAAATGAGTTAAAACTAACCTCTATGATTTTAGTTTTTTATATTATTGCAAAAACATCGGACTAGTCAGCGATTTAAAATTACCCTGAAATTAATTTGAAACTCACTTTATTTTGAGTATTAATTATTAAATTTATTATAATTTCTAAGATGATTAACACTGTTATTTAATAATTCATCATCAATATAATTGACTGACGCCCTTTCACGAAGGTATTGGACTCTGTGTATTCAACCTTTGGCCACTTCGTTTGTTAGGCAACATTCAATGGAGGTATTGAGGGATAATTGTTTTTTTAAGAATTGACATAGACAACAATTGCATCTTTATGGTAGATTACATGCTGGTATACCCCTGATAGACATCATAAGATTATCTTGATATTTAATAATTTCGCTATATACAGTGGCATTAATCCAACATGACATGAATGTGCAATGAAAGTACAACAATCCTTAAGATCAGATGATGTTATACCTAAATAATGTTTATGATTAAAAAAACCTAAAATCCATGCCTGGAGCGCCTTTATTACCCTTGAATTTCCAACGAGCCTGGTTTATAGATCTTTGTTTACGCCACTTAACATTAGAATATTCTCTATTAAGTAGAATTTTGAAAGCTAATGATAAATGTTTTAATTCTTGATAATAATCACGAGACGTGATGTTTCTGGAACTATTTTATATTGATCATACTTATGCGAATATTCACTACTTAATTTTTCATAATTCTCTTGTAATTTACCTATAAATATATTTTATAAAATATAAAAAAAATTTACTAATAAATGCATATTCAAAATTGGCAAACCTAGTGGTTTCTCCTAATTTTGCATCCATAAACAAACGGAGCAATCTATCCAAAATATGTCTCTGACAACCGAAGTAAGGTACATTGGCCAACAAATTATTATTCAATTTAAATATTGTACAATTATCAGCTGTATTTACAGCGCAGGTATTTGAAATTATTATTTTTATGTTATCTGCAATATTGTATTTTTCAATTATATTTTTTATAGCCAAATATATCGTTTCTGCTTTACCATTTAGTAAATACATTACTCCAATTGGAATACCCGTTTTCAGTTTCTCAGATTGGATGCATATAACCTGCATTTCCATACCATCAAAATGGAGACTAATTTTTATTATTTTTCAATTAGCTCTTACATACATTGAATATAATTAAAAATGAATTTATGGCATAGCTGTTAATTCTGCTCAAATTTAGCAAAATTAAGCACAATTTTTATGTAAAATTTGCTCATAAAATATTAGTACAAAGTCATAAATATGTCTATAACTATTTAAAATTTAAAAAAAACACATTTAGTTGAAAAAATAAATTTAAACCAAAGTGAAATTTACAATTTTTTGGAATATTCTATATAAATCCAGAGTTTACTGTGTTTTAATTACAAATTTAATTTATTATTACAATAAACTAATATAATTTAATTCTTAAATTGATTTTAATTAGGCTGTCCAGATTGTTGATATTTGAATTGAAAAAGATTGATACTAAGAAATTTCATTTGTCTAATATTTTTAGAGCTGCTAGTCAATTTTTTTATACAGCTTGCCAATCTTTTAAAAGATAGGCAAAGTCCGCCTTTTTTTTATTTTATGAAAGAAGCCGAATGTAAATTTGAAATGACTAATTAAGTATATAAAAACAAAAAAGTAATTAAAAATTATATTTACATTTATGATACAGAATCTGAATCGCTCATATTGAATCGATTTGAATGATGATCCTTGAAACAGTGAGGATGAAGTGCCATATATGAACCCTTTCTATTTAAACAGACATCGCATTGATATTTCGTTCGAGATTTTACACCTGTTTGTACACAATAAGAACATAATTGTGATTTTTTATCAGGAATTATTGTAGGTATATGATCAATAGATTCTAATTCCACTTCCTTAATAGATTCGTTCTTTGCTTCATTGACCAAAAAAATGTTTCCGGAACATCAAATATCCGATTGAATTGTATTAGATGCCATTTGTGACCAAATTGTGCACGTTCTTTGAAGTAGGCCGTTTATTTTCTTTAATGCAATTATTAAAGTCAACTTCACCTTCTATTTCATTGCCGTCTGGTACTGCCATTTTTTATACTGAAAATATGACTTGGATGAGTTTCTTTGCTAGCAAGTATGTTAACATAAGTTTGATCTATTTCTTTTTGATCAGAGAATTGGTTGTATAATTTAGTTAGTCCCGGTAGATACTATAGAAATGGATATCCCAATGTCGGTAACATACAAACAGAAATGCGAGTTTGTATTATAGATTATATTAAGGAATTGAGATTGATTCTCCATTATGTCTGTTTGAAAAAGTGATTCATGATAGGTATTTTCCATTACCTCATGGAAGTCACCATTAGATTTCATAGATAATTTACGCTCTGAAAATTTTATGAAAATTGCATTTCACAAGAGTTTAATCTTTTTAATAACATTATAACCATTATCTCTGGATCTAGATAGTAATATATCTCGAGCTTCATATAGTTTAAACAAAGTATATATGAAATCAGGTGTGTATAATGTAGTAGGAATGGATATACAGATAACGGAATTTATTTTGAAAATGTTTACAACGTAAACAAAAAATTTTATCATTCCGTATTTCCAGGTCATTTTGATTCAGCCACATAGAAAAATTTAACTTTTTTCTCATATTC